GGGGAATGGAATACTTGCCCCTGCTCTCAGTTTAAAAAAAAAAAAAAGTTTAATCAAAATCATCAGGGATTTATTTATTTTAATCATTTCTGTCCTCACTTAAGATTAACCCATAAGAGTCTAGACTTGCTACATTAGACAAATGTGTAAAAGAGAAAAAACATGATTCACATCAAGTTCATCTTTCAAAATGTTTCCAGACCAGCTAAAAAGGCATTTAGTAACATCAAACAGGACCACCAAGAAACAAACAAGCAAGAGGAACTGTGTGCATAGCAAACCACCCCCACCCCCACCCCCGGTGCTTCCAAGGCGCTGGCACAGTAAGACCAACTCCACTTACAGACGGAGCCCAGAGAGACCCGCTCGCACAGGACACAAAGACCCACCCGAGAGACTCCCGGGCTCCTCGCAACACGGGAAGAGAGGAATAAAAAGGCACTCCGTCCAAACAGCCACTTCAAAAATACAAGCAAGGAAACAAACAGGTTTCTGAAAACACAAGAGCAAGCTGGTCAGGGCAGCAGATCCGAGCTTCCGGAAAAAGAGGCAGGGCCTCCACCTGGTTCCTGGACCCAAGGAGACATGAGGAAGAGCCCTCCCAGTGCTGTTCCAGTCCTTCGGGACTAAATGCACTTTGCAGAGGTGGGCGGTGAGGGGCCAGCCCACCCGGGAAGACGGAAGCAGGTGCCCTGTCCACATTCAAGGGCAAGACTCTGCAGGGTCAGGTGCGGACCTCTCTCACCCGGACCCACAACCCTTCCCATCCAACATCCCTCCCGCACATTCCTCCAACCTTCCTCCTCCCACTTCAGGGTTTTTCTGTGGCTGCTCTAACGGTCCTCCACACACAGCCTGAAACGCACTTATTATCTTAAAGTCTGGAGGTCAGAGTCCAAGGCAGTTCTCACGGGACTAAAGTGTAGGTGTTGGCCACTGCACTCATTTCTGGACGCTCTGGGGAGAGTCCACGTCCTGCTCATGCAGGCTGTTGGCAGAATCCAGTTCCCTGCGGTTGTAGGACCGAGGTTCCCGCCGGCTGCAAGCAGAAGGTCACTCCAAATGCTGGAGGCCACCGCACCCCCCGGCTCATGGCCCCCGCCTCCACTTTCAGAGCCAGCGACAAGACAAGCGTCCATCTGCTGTTGATTCTGACCACTTTTAAGCGCTCACTCCATTCTACTGGACCCACCAGGCCACCCAGGAAAAGGTACCACCTCAGGGTCAGCAGATCTGCACCTTCCACTCTTTGGCCATGTGGTCTGGTTCCAGGTTCCAGGGATAAGGATGCAGACATCTTTGGGGTTCATCATTCTGCAACCACGCCCCATCCCTCAGGCCAGAACCCTGGTGATCGCCACCCTTCAGTGCTTCATGGCGGCCCTTTTCTATGGCCTTCCGAGCCCTGCCCGCCTCCCACCCCTCTTCTCACAAGGCTCCCCTCCTGCCGTCCTCCTCCCCAGCCCCAGGGTCCCCGCAGCACCCTTCCCCTGCCAGGAGTGCTCTGACGCCCACCCTGCATCTCCGCATCTGTGCATCTCTGTGGGCTGGCTCCCTCTCCACCTAGAGGTCTCAGGTCAGGCATGACCTCTTCTGGAAGGGCATGGCCTTCCATTGACGCAGGGTCCTGTGCTTCTGCCAACGCCCCCAATGATGACCTTCGAAGAACATACCAATGTGCTTACCGTCTCCCTCACCCCAGCAGCCTCTGAGAGCCACATCTCTTGGCTCAGCATTCAGCACGGGACCTGGCACACAGAATGCGTTCTGAACGAATGAACTGTCCCCCCAACAAGTCCTCCCCTCAGCTGATGAGTGATGGCGGCCTGTTACAGTGACGGTGGAGCTGATGTCTCACCGGCTCGGAGACTCCTCGGGCTGTGGCCGCTGGAAGCTGAAAGCTGTCGGAGCCACAACACCGTGAGCTGTCTTCTCCTCCAGCTCCACCCCAAGCACCCACAGCCTTGCCGATTCAGTCTGGGCCCTTCCTGCCTCCATCCCGCTCACAAAGGTCGCCCTCCACAGGCCCCACCGCCCGCACGGCCTCCTGTGCACAGCGCTCGCGGCCCCGGCGGACCCACGCCGGAGGGCCGTCTGCGCTCGCACCGCGGTGGGCGGTGACTTCGTCCTGCCACTGACAGCTAAGTGTGGCAAGAGTGCCACCCACAACTGCAGAGGGCAGCCGCCCCTCGGAGCCAAGTGGGTCGCTGGCCCAAGAGAGAACCAGCCCCAGAGAGTCACAGACTGAACACGTCCTGATCCCCACCACCCGCCCTCTGATTCTTGCAACACCACCGTCCTCTCTCACCCGGACGTTCACCACAGCCTCCGAACTGGTCTCCCTGCGTCCGTCCTTCCCTCCCAGCCCCTAACCTGCCATCCACCCAGAGGCCAAAGGGATCCTGCCTCACCTCTGCCAAGACCCTCCAAAGCGCTCCCCCATCAGAGTAAGAGACAGGAAGCCCACGTCTTTCCACTGTGACCACGAGGCCCGCCCCCACCAGCTTCCGGACCTCGTGCCCCAGGACTCTCCCCCTACTCCCTTGGCTCCAGGCACCAGGCCCCCCGCTCTTCTCGAGCACACCGCTGTCGCTCCCAACCGGGGGCTTTCCACTGGCCCTCTGCCCAGACCACTGTCCTCCCAGCCACCCAGGGGGCCTGTTCGCTCCCCTCCTGTGAGTCCTGCTCAAATGTTACCTCCTCTGTGAGACCTTCTCTGGCCACCTTATCACCGGGAAACCCTCCCCACTCCACACGCCTCCCAATCCCAATTCTCTGCTTGAGGTTTCAATAACAGGATAACAGTTCCCACCTTCTCAGGGGTAACTCTCTTCTTAACTTAGTCATGGTCTCTATTCTCTGCCCCTCCAGCTCCGCTGTAAGCTCTGAGACAGCACTGGTTCTGATCTGTTTTGTTCACTGGTGTATCTCTAGCCCCTGGAACTGTTACTGGCACCAAGAGTTGGTTAAACAAATATCTACTGAATGAATGGATTTTCAAACTCTCAAAGCTCCTCCAAGAGGCCCTCTCTCGTGCTCATCAAAGAGAATCGGACCAGACCGAACAAATATGTGCCTGGAGATCTCAGCCACTTAGGTCTCATCCAGCTTCAGCAGGTTACACTGGCAGAAACTGATGGCCCCAGGGGTGACATGACCTGGTGAAAGTCACACAGAGATTAATAGAAAAAAAAAGGCTGAAACCCAGACCACAGAACCAACTCAGAGGTGCTTCCACCACATCACACATCCTGCTTCATCCAGAAGTTTCTAAGAAAGCCCCAGCCAAATAGACAACCTAAGGACCAGCATGAATAGAGGAGGGGGGGCTACTGGCAAGACCACCTCTCATGCAGTGTGAGACCCTGGCCAAATCACCTACTAGAGATACACCAGTGACACAGTTTCTTTGGTAAGACTCCATAATTTAAAAGATGATGGCAGGGCGCCTGGGTGGCTCAGTCGGTTAAGCGACTGCCTTCGGCTCAGGTCATGATCCTGGAGTCCCGGGATCGAGTCCCGCATCGGGCTCCCTGCTCGGCAGGGAGTCTGCTTCTCCCTCTGACCCTCCCCCTTCTCATGCTCTCTCTCTCTTAAATAAATAAAATCATGGGGCGCCTGGGTGGCTCAGTTGGTTGGGCGACTGCCTTCGGCTCGGGTCACGATCCTGGAGTCCCGGGATCGAGTCCCGCATTGGGCTCCCTGCTCGGCGGGGAGTCTGCTTCTGCCTCTGACCCTCCCCCTCTCACGCTCTCTCTCTTTCTCACTCAAATAAATAAATAAAATCTTTAAAAAAAGAAAAAGAAATCTTGACATCGGGGGCGCCTGGGTGGCTCAATTGGTTGGGCGACTGCCTTCGGCTCACGTCATGATCCTGGAGTCCCAGGATCGAGTCCCGAATCGGGCTCCCTGCTCGGCGGGGAGCCTGCTTCTCCCTCTGACCCTCCCCCCTCTCTCTCATTCTCTCTCTCTCAAATAAATAAATAAAATATTTAAAAAAAGAAAAGAAATCCTCAGTGTGGCGGCGCCTGGGTGGCTCAGTCGGTTGGGCGACTGCCTTCGGCTCGGGTCACGATCCTGGAGTCCCGGGATCGAGTCCCGCATCGGGCTCCCTGCTCGGCGGGGGGTCTGCTTCTCCCTCTGGCCCTCCCCCCTCTCATGTGCTCTCTCTTTCTCTCTCAAATAAATAAATAAAATCTTTAAAAAAGAAAAAGTAATCTTGACATCCGTTTCTCTCTAATCTACGTTCGCCAGGCACTGTCCACGCACTGTCTTCACCTTCCCCGGGGCGCGGGCCGGGGATCAGCCGCACGCTGATCAGGACTTTGGAGCCGAACAGCTTCCAGGTTGCACCCGGGTCATTGCACGCACTTCATTTTTTGTTTAATTTCTTTTTCTTAATTCGCTTCCTGCTGCGGACTCAAGAAAGGAGTTGGTTTTGCGGCCGGAAGGTGGGGTACGTGGAAATTCACAGGGAGGCTCAAATCCACCGGAGCGAGTCCTCGAGCTCAAGGCCAAACGCAGCCGAGCGCGGGAGGGACAAGAAGGCCATTCAAGTGGGTCCCACCGCCGCGCCCCCCGGAGAGGCGATCGCCCGGCAAGCGCAGCCCGTGCGGCCAGCGGGCCAGGTCCGCACTCCCCGAACCCTTCGCAGCGCGACCCGAGTCGGTCCCCTTCGGCTTCCCAGGGCGCCCGGGATGTCACCGAGGAGAGCCTGCCGAGGAGTGTCACCGAGGAGAGCCTGCCGAGGAGTGTCACCAAGGGGAGCCTGCGGCCTCGGGAAGCCTCGCGACCAGCTGCTCCTCCTCCCTTCAAGCCTCGGTCTGCGCGCAGCCCCCGTCACCGCCCAGACCCTGCGCTCGAGCCCCCCGGCCCCCCAACGTCGCTCTCGTCCCCAGCAGCCCTCCCCAGACCCCCGACTCCACCCGCAGCCCCGCGGGCCCACGCGCCCGCCCGACCTCCGAGCCCTGACCCCGACCCGGCCTCCCCGTCACACCCACCTGCCCGGGACTTCGCCGTTGCTGCGCCTCCAGAACCGCTTCCGGGCCCCGTCGCCGGCCACAGCCCCTCCTCCTCCACCTGCCCGGGACTTCGCCGTTGCAGCGCCTCCAGAACTGCTTCCGGGCCCTGTCGCCGGGCACGGCCCCTCCTCCTCCCTCAGGCCCGCGGCCCGACACCTCGAGCGCGGCCGGCCAGGCCCGGCGGCCCTCTCCTGCACCCCGAGCGGCCCCTCAGCGGCCCCCGGACTCCTGAGCCCAGCGCCCAGAGGCTCTTCCGCCTGCTCCCGGAAGTCCCGCCTCCGCGCGCCCGGAAGTCCCGCCTCCGCCCAGGCGCGCCGGACGCAAGGCGCGGGCGTGACGGCATTAGGGGCGACGCCGGGGAGGGGGTGTGGCGGCTGCGGTGCGGGCGGCGGGGGTCCGTGTGTCGGCGGCTGGCTGGGGCCCCAGTCCGACTCTGTGCTCTGCTGCCGGGCGAGGCGGCGGGAGGGTCCGGGGCGCGCGGAGGCAGCGAGGGGCAGCGGGGTCGGCGGAGCGGGGGGGGGGGGGGGGTGCCTGGGGGTCGCGGAACCCGGCGCAGGAAGCCCCCGGCAGGGTTTTCGAAGAGTCGGCGCGAAGCGGAGCGGAGGGAGAGTCCGTCTACACTGGTGGGGCGCCGGGCGGCTCAGTCGGCCCGCCATCTGCCTTGGACTCAGGTCATGACCCCAGAGCCCAGAGGCTCTTCCGCTTGCTCCCGGAAGTCCCGCCTCCGCGCGCCCGGAAGTCCCGCCTCCGCCCAGGCGCGCCGGACGCAAGGCGCGGGCGTGACGGCATTCAAGGGCGACGCCGGGGAGGGGTGTGGTGGCTGCGGTGCGGGCGGCTGCGGTCCGTGTGGTGGCGGCTGGCTGGGGCCCCCGTCCGGCTCTGTGCTCTGCCGCCGGGCGAGGCGGCGGGAGGGTCCGGGGCGCGCGGAGGCAGCGGGGGGCAGCGGGGTCGGCGGAGCGGGGGGGTGGGGGGGGGCGCCTGGGGGTCGCGGAACCCGGCGCAGGAAGCCCCCGGCAGGGTTTTCGAAGAGTCGGCACGAAGCGGAGCGGAGGGAGAGTCCGTCTACACTGGTGGGGCGCCGGGCGGCTCCGTCGGCCCGCCGTCTGCCGTGGACTCGGGTCGTGACCCCAGGGCCCTGGGCTCGAGCCCCGCGTCGGGCCCCCCGCTCGGCGGGGAGACTCCGCTTCCCCCTCCGCCTGCCCCTTCCCGACTGGTGCCCTCGCTCGCTCGAGAGCTCGCTCGAGTGAATGAAATCTTTGAAAAGAGCGAGTCTGCGTTGGTTACGTGGTGAAATGACAGCTGCTGAGGTTATGTTTCGGTGTTTCGGTGTTTGCTTCTTTTAACTCGACGTGGCCAACGAAGATGTGGGGTGACGTGCGTGACTGGCGCTGGATTTCTCTTGGTCGCGGACCCGGACCGAGAAGCCAGGTCCTGCCCTTTCCCGACTGCAGGACAGTCCGCGGACACACCTCCGCCAGTTCTCTCGCGAGACAAGAATTGGGCTGCATGTGTAAGTGTGCCCGTGCCCCTCGCTTACTGATGGGTAGCACTGATGGAGTTCTTGCCACACGCAAGATCTGCGCCGGGTTCTTTACATGCAGTACGGCAGCCGTATGCCCACCACCCCCAAAGGCTGCCCCTCCCGGGAGAGCAGAATGGCTCGCTCACCTCTCGGACACCGAATTTTATGCCCTTTCCACAGGTCCTTGTGCCCCCCCCTGCAACACTTACCTGACTGTTTTTATGATCTCTGTGTCCACAGGTAGCTTGTGAGATCCTGCTCAGTGGGGCCTAGGTCTTCTGCCTCTGCAAGTGTGTGTTGGATGAATGACAACCACGGGAACTCTCCAGGGACCCCCTTTTGTCACCATAGAAACTCCAGGAATCTTCTCTTTGGTGTGATCTTAATGGATCCTTGGTGATCCCCAGCTAACAAACCCTCACTAGATCCTCAGGGCTCCTTTGTTCATAGCCTGATGAGCTCTTCCGGGATCCTGTCCTTACATGACCTCAGGGAAACTCCAGAGATCTTCCAATAAAGTTTCAGTGGATCCGCAGGGACTCCCTCCTGACACAACCTCAGGCAGTCTCCTGGGATTGTCTCCTAGTGGAGCTCAGGAAGGCCCCAGGGACCTCTTCCCAATATACAGCCCCGAGGCCTCAGAAAGCCTCTCAGAGACTGGCTCCTAACAGCCTCCGGGTCCCCTGTGGACATCACTGGGGACCTCAGGGGTTCTGTGCAGCTCTTCTGGCTCATTGCAAGAATCAGCGAGGTGACGGAGCAAGATGGCGGAGGAGTAGGAGACCTGGATTTCGTCTCCTCTCAGGAATTCAGCTGGATAGGGACCAAACCATTCTGAACACCTACAAACCCAACAGGAGATCGAAGAAAGGAAGAGCAACAACTCTCTGAACAGAAAAGCGACCACTTTCTGGAAGGTAGGACGTGCGGAGAAGTGAATCTGCGGCGATATTCGGGAGGATAGACGGCGGGGGAGGGGCCTCCGTCGGCCGCTTCTGGCAAGTGATAGAGCCGCGGAGCACAAAACCGGAACTTTTATAAGTCTGCTCCGCTGAGGGACGTCACTCTGGTGGCTAAGCGGGGGGTGGAACCCTCCGGGAGAGTGTGGTCTCAGGACCCTCGGGGTCACAGAAAGACCGGGGGTGCCTGAGTGCAGCAGAGCTCCCAGGGATCGGAGCAGGGAAGCCGGCTGCAGAGGTGGGGCCCAGGCGCAGGCTCTCAGCTCGGGGTGGCCATAAACCGCGATCCGCGGCCCAGTCGAGCCCCTGCTCCTCCAGCAGGGACCCAACAAGCGGCAGATCCGGGGTAACTCCCCTTCCTCCCCTGGGAGGAGCGGCGCAGGAGCGCACCGCAGGGATCTGCTGGGTTTGGAGACTCCACACACGGTCGGGTGCCAGAGAGAGAAACGCGCGGTCGCAGGCCCGGTGAGCACGGAGTGCGGCGGAGACCGGGGAGACGGGAGTGACTGACGGCTTTTCTCTGGGGGCTCACTGAGGAGCGGGGCCCCGAGTTCTCGGCTCCTCTGGGGCGGAGATTGGGAGGCCGCCATTTTCACTCTCCGCCCCCAAAGCTGTACGGAAAGCTCGCAGGGAACAAAAGCCCCGGAGAGCAAACCCGAGCAGATTACTTAGCCGGGAGGGGGCAAGGGCGGGGCAATTCCGCCTCCGGCAGAGACATTTGGAAACCACGGCAACAGGCCCCTCCCCAGAAGATCAGTGAGAACAGCCAGCCAAGACCAAGTTTACCGATCAATGAGAACGGCAGAACTCCGGCGCTAGGGGACTACTGCACATAGAATTCACGGCTTTTTTACCATGATTCTTTAGTCTTTTAAAGTCAATTTTTTTTAACTGTCTTTTTGTCTTATTATATCTTTTTGAATTTTTCTTTTTCCCTTTTTCTACCAACATCTTATCAATCCCTTTTTAAAAAACAACAAAAAAAAAACTTTATTTTTCATTTTTAGAGTCATATTCTATCCCTTCATAGTAGTTACCCATATTTTTGGCTTATATATATAAGTTGTTCTCTCTTTAAAATTTTGAGATAGTTTCTTCTAACAGATTAAAATATACCCTAAATCTCTAGTATATGGTGCTTTCTATTCCCTTGCCTGATCACATCCTCTCCCTTTTTTTTTCTCTTTTTGTTTTTTCTTTTTTTAAATCCTCTTCTTTCTTTTTTCAAACAACTTCTTATCAATTCCTTTTATAACATTTTTATAATTTCCATTTTTACAATCATATTCCATCCCTTCATCATATCAACCCTTATTTTTGTACATATATAAGTTTTTCTTTCTTTAAAATTTTGGGAGGCACTTTCTTCTAAAAGACCAAAATACACCCCAAATCTAGTGTGTGGCACTGATCTATATACCATATAGATCATATTTGATCATATTCTGATTTTCCTTTTGTTGTTGTTGTTTCGTTTTGTTTGTTTTTGTTTTTATCTTTATCTTTTTTTTTTTTTCTTTTTCTTTTTTCTCTCTTTCCCTTTCTTATCCCACTGCTTTAGGTCTTTTCTGATTTGTTTAGAGTATATTTTCTGGGGACGTGGTTATTCTGCTAGCATTTTGTTCTCTCATTAATCTATTCTCCTCTGCACAAAATGACAAGATGGAAAAAATCACCGCAACAAAAAGAACAAGAGGTAGTACCGACTGCCAGGGACCTACTCAATACGGACATTAGTACGATGTCAGATCTAGAGTTCAGAATCATCACTTTAAAGATACTAGCTGGGCTTGAAAAAATATGGAAGTTATTAGAGAAACGCTTTCTGGAGAAGTAAAAGAGCTAAAATCCAACCAAGTAGAAATTAAAAAGGCTATTAATGAGGTGCAATCAAAAATGGGGGCACTAACTGCTAGAATAAATGATGCAGAAGAGAGAATCAGTAATATAGAAGATGAAATGATGGAAAATAAAGAAGCTGAGAAAAAGAGAGATAAACAACTACTGGATCACGAGGGCAGAATTCGAGAGATAAATGATACCATAAGACGAAACAACATTAGAATAATTGGGATCCCAGAAGAAGAAGAAAGAGAGAGAGGGGCAGAAGGTATAATGGAGCAAATTATAGCAGAGAACTTCCCTAATTTGGGGAAAGAAACAGGCATGAAAATCCAGGAAGCACAGAGAACCCCTCTCAAAATCAATAAAAATAGGTCAACTCCCCGACATCTAATAGTAAAACTTACGAGTCTCATAGACAAAGAGAAAATCCTGAAAGCAGCTCGGGAGAAGAGATATGTAACCTACAATGGTAGAAACATTAGATTGGCAACAGACCTATCCACAGAGACCTGGCAGGCCAGAAAGGACTGGCAGGATATATTCAGAGCACTAAATGAGAAAAATACGCAGCCAAGAATACTCTATCCAGCTAGGCTGTCATTGAAAATTGAAGGAGAGATAAAAAGCTTCCAGGACAAACAAAAACTAAAGGAATTTGCAAACACAAAACCATCCCTACAGGAAATCTTGAAAGGGGTCCTCTAAGCAAAGAGAGACCCTAAAAGCAACATAGACCAGAAAGGAACACAGACAATATATGGTAACAGTCACCTTACAGGCAATACAATGGCACTAAATTCCTATCTTTCAATAGTTACCCTGAATGTAAATGGGATAAACGCCCCAATCAAAAGACACAGGCTAACAGACTGGATTCAAAAACAAGACCCATAGATATGCTGTCTGCAAGAGACTCATTTTAGAACCAAAGACACCCCCAGATTGAAAGTGAGGGGGTGGAAAACCATTTACCATGCTAATGGACACCAAAAGAAAGCTGGGGTGGCAATCCTTAGATCAGACAAATTAGATTATAAATCAAAGACTGTAATAAGAGATGAGGAAGGACACTATATCATACTTAAAGGATCTATCCAACAAGAAGATCTAACAATTGTAAATATCTATGCCCCTAACATGGGAGCAGCCAATTACATAAGGCAATTAATAACAAAAGCAAAGAAACACATCGACAACAATACAATAATAGTGGGGGACTTTAACACCCCCCTCACTGAAATGGACAGATCGTGTAAGCAAAAGATCAACAAGGAAATAAAGACTTTAAATGACACACTGGACCAAATGGACTTCACAGACATATTCAGAA